TGGGAGCCAACGCAGCCCCGGGCCGGGACTCCCCTTAACGCAGACCCCGGGGGCCCGGCTCTGCCCCGGGGGTGCCGGGTTCCCCCCCAGAGCGCAGTTCATTGCCAGAAACGGCACTAATTTCCCCCGCACCCCGCCCTTTCCCTGCATCCTCTCCACCTCCTTTCCTGTCCTCGGAGAGGGGCTGGTGGGTTGGGGAAAGCAAAACCCTCTTCCCCCTCTCCCAGTTCCTTTGGCTGATTCATAGCCTGTTTCCCCTAAGCAGAAACAAATCCCAGTTCCAGGAAGTTTGAGGCACAGGCTGCACCATAGGCATCCCCAAGGAACCCCTCCTCCGGAGCTGGCAGCTGGAATTTTTGCTGCTTGGGGGAAATCTGCAGCTCCAGATCCCCCAATTCCAGAAAAACTCCGGGCGTCTCCAAGCACCCACTCATCTCCCACTCCCACATGCAGAAGGGATTTGGGATTGTGGCATTGGCACCATCGCCAGTGGGCTCGGGGAGCTCTAGGGTATTTGTTTACTGGAGCATCAGGCTTGAAAAATGTAAGAGGGTTGGGAGCAGACCTGGAAAAAGCAAAGCAGCAACGTGCAGGGCTCTGCCGCTGCCAGACTCGCGTGTGAGAGCTTTTCAGTCTTTTATTTTGAACATGAATTTTAGGTGGTTTAATCACCAGCTGGCTGGAGTTTAAAGCCGCATGCATACTAAATCCTGCGAAGTGTGCCCACAATTCGAGCGAGGAACCTAAAGGGAAGCAAATAAGAATGATTTCTCCCCCTAGAAGTGGCGAGGGCAGATGCTGTTCGATTTAAAGCCAGAGCCTGTAGACACTTAGCCTTCGCTCCCCAAGTTTCAGGTATTTTGCTCCAGCAAACCTAAACTGAGCCCCCACAAAAGCACTGAAAAATTGCTCTGAGTTTTGCCTTGAAAACTCACCTTTCTGGCAATTAGGGAGGTTATATTTTTCCTGTAGGTGCATCATAGCTTGTGCCAGTGCCAGCTCAGAGTACTTAACCCAAATTCTCTACTCTCCGTGGAGACACAAGCCAACTAATATGAGAACAACGTGGCTGAAATGCTTTATTTCCAGCCATCTTCCTTTTAGGATTAATCTGGTGCTCAGTGTTAGCATGATAGGGCTAAAGAGATAGGATTATTCCCAGCCACGTCTTCGGAGATTACAGTTTAAACAATTCTGAGCATATTTCACAGCATCACTGATATTCGGTATATACCTTATCCTGTTACCCAAGCAAGGAGGCAGACAGTAATGCACAGCGTGTGAACTTCTCTCATGTTGTTTTCTTTATTCTTTTTTTCTTTAATTATACATGAGAATTAATTTATAAGTAAAAACAGGAGGAACTTTGCATCTGGAAAAGAGACCTTGGCAGCTGTTGGAAAAAAGCAGCATCCCAGTGTTTCTGGGTGGGTATGGGAAGGAGAGACAAATAACGGGAGAGCCAGGAGAGAAGGAAAGGGCAGTGGTGACACGGGAGATGCTGATGCACAGAAGTTTTGCAGCTGGAAAATCCTGAGCCCTGGGTTTTTGCAGCGGATTCAAACTGTTTTAGAGCAGGTCTTTACATCCCTCCGTGCTCATTTGCTGTCTTTAAACGAAACAGAGCAAAGATACTCGCTAAAGCTGGCAAATCACTTGTAATAAATCACTCGACATATTTCACTCCTGTTTGGCAAATTGTCTGCAGCGCAGTGGGATTTTTTATTTTTTATTGGAATCCATTAGTTTTCCAAGAGGTTTGGTTTGTTGACTGATTGAAAGCAAGTCCCAAAACAAGAGCAACTGCTACCATTTATAGGCTCGGAGCCACTCTGAGTTGCACTGACTGGCTCTGCTCGAATAAGCATGGGATAATGTTCCTCCCTGGACCGGAACGAAATCCCCAGGATGAATGTTTGACTGTATTAATTTAAGATCTCCTTTCTGCAAAAGTTCCTCACTATTTGCTTTGAAGATTTAGGTTTTAATGGGCATTACTGGGAGAAACCAGATGTGCGCGTGAACAGTCAGGCTGCTTCATGCAAAGAAGAAGGAGTAGCTATTGAAGCAGCATGCAGCACAATTCATTTTTGTCCATTTTTCTTAACTTGTACCACTTGAACAGCAGCTGTATAAAATAATTCCTGGTATTTTTCTGGTAATTCTATATTACACTATGTATCATGTGCTTCTAATGAGGAATAGCCATGGGGAGCGATAGGGAGCAGGGTGTTACCGCAGGGCTTTGGACATGATCAGTGAACGATGCCATGAAGTTGTAAGACCTCAGGGACCTGTGATATTCCACCTTTCCAAGCAGGACTAGTCCCTGGCTTCCTCACCATCCTTGCAGCTGTCTACAAGCAGTTTGTGGATCTAACTTGTCCTACATCTCCTTCGTTGCCAAGCTTCCCTGTCACTTCCATCAGTCAAGGATGCCTGGCTTGAATTTTGGAATCCAGTAGCAGACATTAAGTGCGTTATAGCCGTGTTATTTAAGCCTAGTTAACACTTCAGCCAGCAGTCAGGTCGAAGGAGGGGATCCTGCCCCTCTCCTCAGCTATGGTGATGTCGCGCCTGGAGCACTGGGTGCAGTTCTGGGCTCCCCAGGACAAGAGGGACTAGGAGCTTCTAGAGAGGGTCCAACATAGAGAGACAAAGATGATTAAGGGCCTGGAGCATCTATGGTACAAGGAAAGACTAAGCGAGCTGGGCCTGTTTAGCCTCAAGAAGAGAAGACTGAGAGGAGATCTGATCAATATATGTAAGTACCTGAGGGGAGAATGTAAAGAGAACAGGGCCAAACTCTTCTCTGTGGTGGCCAGTGACAGGACAGGGTGTTTCAGATACAAACTGAAGCCCAGGCAGTTCCATCTCCACGTGAGGAAGAACTTCTTTCCTGTGAGAGTGACAGAGCCCTGGCACAGGCTGCCCAGAGAGGTTGTGGAGTCTCCTTCTCTGGAGATCTTCCAAACCCGCCTGGATGCCACCCTGGGTGCCCCGTGCTCTGGGTGTCCCTGCTGGAGCAGGGGGTTGGGGCTAGATGATCTCTAGGGGTTCCTTCCAACGCTAACCATTCTGTGATTCTGTGATTCAGTTTTCCTACCGCAACCAATTTCAGGGTTTTATTTTTTTCCTTCCCATACAAATTGAGCGCCTCTCAAAGCCATTTCCACACAAGTAAATTAATGTTTTCATGCCACTTCAGCTGGAGGAGGCTTTAAAAGCTACTCATTGTGGCAGGGACAGATAAAAGAGCTCCGAGGCAGAGGATGTTGGCTCTGCTCACTCGTGGGTCAGTGCCTGCAGTTCGAGCCGGTTCCCAACCCAGATCCCAGTCCCTCCGGATGCTGCCTTCTTGCCATGGGTGCCGTATGCTGCACAAATACCATTTTTCCTGCATTGCTTCTTGCTTCATTACCTTTCTACCTCTTTTCTCATGAGGCCCTTAGTGGAATGGGGGAAAAAATGTATCAGAGAAACAGGCAACTCCTAGATCTGCACTAAATCCTGTGGATTTTAATTAAGCCTGGATTACAGGGCATATGTGCAGGGGAGGCAGGGCAGATGGGCAGCTCTCTGCTACCCTGTAATGCCCAGGAGAGCCAGCGGCATCTGCAGGGACAGGCTCTGGCACATGCTGATGGTTTTTTGTTTTCATGGGCAGCTGGTGGGAGCCTGGTCATTAAAACACATGTGGCAACAAACCCTGAGCTGCTATGGACCACGGTGCCAGCACCGATTCCGAGCATCCCGGGGATGCAAAAGTGGAAACGAGCTGGAGAAGTGGCAGGAGAGCAGGCTGAAATGAGGAGCTGCTTTCCGGTTCTTCCCACTCCTCAGGGAGCCGACTGGGAATTGTGTGGAGCGCCCCAAGGCTTTGCTGGGCTCCCGTTTTGGGGAAGTTCTGCTCTGTATCGGCCCATCCTTGCATGGCTGCAGCTGGTGAACCCATCCAGGGCCTTTCTCTTGGCTATTTTACAGCATCTGTTCTTTGCGCAGATGATCCATCAAGCAAACACGTTGGCACAGGGAGCAGCAAGGTGCTGAAAAGTGCTCTCTTTTATTCCTCCTTGCACTCCTTTCCGTGGGGTCTTCCGAGGAATGCAGGGAAGACTTTCATGTTGGAGGAAGAAGCACAGGGAATGCACATTCATCTGCCCAGGGCAGCCCTTTTCGTTAGCAAATTTTTATTTTTATTTATTTATTTATTGCATGGCAGCTGTTGCCTGACCCAAATGCTATCCTGACCCTCTTCATCCCTCTTCCAAAGACATCTATGCAATTCCCATCTGTCTGAGAGGCCCATAAAGTTATTAATTCCTTGCGTGATATTGCACTCTTTCTTAAGCCTCATGCTGGTAAAGCAGCAATAATCTCACCCCTTGAGCCGAGCTGAAAAAATTGTTTTAGGTACACCCATAGAGTCTCTGCTCAGCAAAGTCTTTGCTTTTGGAAAAGAAATGGATGCAGTAGCACAAGAAATGAGCACTTTGCTGTGGGAGGAAGGACTGATCCTGATTAAAGGGATCCTGCTCCTTCCCCATGCAGGGCAGCAGGGAAACAGGGCTGAATCCGGGTCCGGCAACCCTCTGGTCAGCTGTACGGTAAGGGATAAATTAAACGAGCTCTTGTTTTCATTGCTTTACATAACTACTTGGCCATGCTGCATTTGGCCAGTTCTTACATAATTTTTTTCCCCCATCCTCCAATCGATTTTAATTCACTCGATTCCCTTCCCCTCCCTCTCCTGCTTCCCGAGATGTCAGCCAGCAGGGAGAAAAGGCCAGGGAAGGGTGGCCGATCAATTTAGTCCTTATGTTTTTCTCTTAGTGGTAGTTTGCAAAGGCCGAGGAGATGAAGGTAATCGCAGGGTCTCTCTTCACAGAAGGGGAAAAGCAAAAAAAACCCTTGCAGT